AGAAAAATCGCCTTCCAGCATCAGTGAGGAAGGCCTCTCTTCTCCTTTTCTCCCTCCTTTTTCCTGCTCCTCCTTCTCTTTTTCCCATCCAGTACATTTACGAACAAACCACTTGCGGCAGAAAAGCTTGGTAAAAGCTGCTGTATGTCCAATAAACCAGTAGTTTGAATCGCTGCTGTTGCCTGCGTAGAGCTACTTGTTCCCTCTGAAAAACATTTCATCAATCGGAAAATTTTCTTAATGGAGCATTACAGACCGAAAAATCACAGTGAAACTGTGAAACAATAACGAACACAGGAGAAAGGGAAAGAGAGGAAGCTTTTGCCAGAAATATATGTGCTGCCAAGTTTAAGGGAAGTCATTTTGATATTAATACCTCCACACTAAAATTTTATGTCTTACTAAATTAATTCTGCACCTTTTTCACTGGATCTTTGCATCCTTCAACTAAACTTTGCTTCCGCTCTTCACTCATTTTTGAGCCTCGCCAACTACAATTTACGCCTTTTAACTAAAATCTTTGTTTTGTCCTGCCACACCTACAGTTTTGTTGCACTTGTATGCGGAAAGAATGAATGTGGGAAAACAGACGGGAATCCATTTTAATTATGTTCCCGAGATAGAGAAAACACACAGTATAACCGAGTATCAAGCTAACCTTTGTCAGAGTCATTAGCATTTGTTGCAAAAACCGCAGCATCTGTTGCATCCATCAGAAATTTATTTGCATCCAACACAGTTGGCAACGAGTATTTACTTTTCTTCATTTTCGAGGCTGGAGTTGATGGCCGGGCTGAAAGATGTGCGAAAAATCAGTGCTCCAAAGCCAGATGTACTTCTCCAGGGAGGTATCGCTGAATTCAACGCAGAATTCCATAGAAACAACTGATTTTTTTTTTTCGCCTGCTGAAGCTAAGTAATCATGCAACGAACAGAGGCAACTGCAGCTGCATTAACAAATGTTCTGTGAGTATTATCGCTTTTAGGTATGATGAATAAGGCTTCGAAGGA